CGGCACTCGCCCTGCGACGATGTCGTCCGGGGCCGTTTCCCGGTTACGCATCACCCGGAACAGCATCCGGAGGCAACCTGCAATCCCACGGAGAAGGAGACTCCGCAGCCTATTCTATCACTCTCGCAGCACAAGCAGTTCTTACTTCTGACGTTCCGGTCTGTGAATGTTTCCACCTCACGCCTCCTGTCGGTGCCTGAATGAGCCCGTCGTCACCGTCAGCAAGACTCCTGCACTTCAGTTAATTTCCGACAGTAAGGTATTCCCCCATACCATCCACAGCCCTCCTCTCGTTTAACCAGTCACAACACAGAAGGCTACCTCCTTGGTCCAGCATCACTTCCCCTCACCGAATTCACCAGGACTACTTCGAAATTTTTGCTCATCAGGTCACTTGCAGCTGTCACCTAGACCCAAGCTGTCCCATCACCTTGTCGTGGAAGCTCAGTACATTCCAGTTCTCTCACCGGAAGAGAAACCCACCACCTCACCCGTTTGTCTCTCCTATAAGGAACGCAGCCATCCACAACAGCGTTTCAGTCATGCGAGCTCTCCCACCACGCCTTCATGACGGGAGCGAGATCAGGCTCCTGAAGCTACAAATAAGTGAGAGGGGGGGGGGAAGGAATATATCGTCTCGTCCGGCTTGCTCCCACCGCTGGAAGCAGAAGGAGCTGAAGCACCCGCAAAACCCTTCTTGAGCAGTTCGGAGGCGGCGCCGTGCTGATCCCAAAGAGGCGTCCGAGTGGTGACCCTATACGAGCCCCAACAAGAGAGAACTTACCTAGTGACTCCTAAACACTCGCCGCTTCCGCCATCTCACCGGGTCGGGATGACGAGAGGTTCTGCTGCAACCTCCGCTCAGCCTGCAATAGAAAATTCGTTTCAGCAGCCCTTCCCGTTGCTTCTCGTTCCCAACACAGAGGCCGGAGGAACGCGGCCCCATCCCGCTCGCTCCTACCGATAAGGCCGGGAGAAACTGAAGTCCCGCTAAAAAGCCCCAGAGGGACAGAGAGCCCTCCGGACCGCGTTGGCACTCGGAGAACCGAGCGGCAGCTCCCTCCAAAAACGCGACGGCAGCCGGGTGGCGATGCGACACGGGCTTCGAGAAGCCGGGGCAGCCCGGCGGGAGCCCCGTGCCGGCCCGCTAACGGAGCCCGGCGAGACCGGACGGACCCGAGCGCCAGCCGCCTCCGCGGTCCCGTTGCCGCCAGCACGATTCACCGGTTCGCGCTGATCTTCACCGGGAGTCGGCTCGCCGCAACCTGAAACGAAACAACAAACAGAGAAGGTTACAAAGAATCCCGAGGTCTGGTTTGAAGAGCAGCCCCTCGCGGTGCTTTGCAGCCCCGGCGGCGTAAGCACCGGACAACAGCAACGGAGCCCGCTCCAGCTCCCGCGGACGATGCTCTCCAGCAGCCCTCTCGTGGCTCCCAGCGGCCTCCGGCGGAGCTTAAGAGGCTTTGGGGCGGACCCGCCCCGCGCTGCGAACGAGGCGCAGCTGTGCTCGGGAGGCCGCGGCCCCTCGGCAGCTGGAAGTCGTTGCCTCGTTAGCGCCGGTGGGGCTCGTTAGGGCCGGCCGGGGAATCTGACAGTTAGACACGTGGACTCTAGATCTGAGTTAAGGACTTTAACTGCACTTTCCATTAAAGTTTGTTACGTGCTTCTCCTCACCTCACTGCGAGATTCACTAATAAGTTAAATGATAGTGTCGCATTCAAACGGATCACTTTGCATCTCACCTGACGCCCTTTCAAAGAACATCTTCAGCCTTAACAGCTTCCAGAGGCCCCTGCTGCGTGCTGTCTTTGCTCTGCTTTCCCTCTCCCGTTGCCCAAAAATAAATAAATAAATAAATAAATAAATGAACAAACAAATAAATAAATAGAAAACTTTGTACCTGACAGAGAAAACGTGACAAGGCAACAGTGGAAATGTGGGAGCGGCGATCCGACAAACACCCAAATGGGTGAAAGATGCACATGGGAAAATTGCTGTCCAGTGGAAATCAGAAGCAGAGCTTCACCAATGGTTCTGTATGGTACAACTCCTCGGCTTATAAAGGAATTATTTACATGTGTCCCTTGCTTTGAGAACCTGCTGTCTGCAAATGGGCATGTCTGCTCAAAGGAAAGAGGTGCCAGGTATAGAATCTGACCGAGAGGCCTGAAGAAGTTGCCATGGATTCCTCTCATACCTCTTGGTGCCTACAAATCACCGGGTGATTCAAAGCTGCCAAAAGCTGTGGTGAATAAAACAGAAAGGGCAAGCTATCAAGAAGGTACAGAAGGGGCCTGAGAGCCTTCATGTGCTAATGTGGGATGAAAAAGGCCAGAGCTGTGATCTTAGGGCATCCTCCTTCAGCTGGTGCAGATAGCCCCATACCGAGGAGAACCGGGGAGGTCTGGGATGGGCTCCCACTGGATGACAAGACAGCAACTTTATCCTGACCTGCAGCTACAAAGCAATCCTCACGTTTTGTCTTTGGCAGCCAGCAGTCTGCCCCGACGATGCAGTGACAACGTGCAGAAGCGCTCCAGACTCATCTTGCATGTGCACATCTCCATCCACACGCTGTGCTACAGCGTCAGATCGTTGTTTTTCTTTCTGTACACACGCTCTAATTGTACGATACTGGCAAAGGAGAGTTAGAACTGTGGATGTATTCACTCATTGCTTAATGATGCTTGCCTAATTGGTGACATGCGGGATCTAAATGAAGATTACATGCAGTATGCTGTTTGTCTAATGAGAAATTTGAACTGCATCTTTTTGTGGTTCATCGTGTGATTGCTAGGAAGGCTGGAATTAGTGAAATTCCTACGTGATTGAGAGAAGGGCTTTCTGTCATTTTGTGTTCATAAAGATAAAATTTGACTTAAAAAGCTCATGTTTCTTTTCATGGAGGTACGAGAGTTAAGGACTCTGAAATGTACCTAGCGTTGATCTAAACAAGAGTTACTAAAAGCTCAGGAATCTTTGTCTTGCAGAGAGTGGAACCTCTCGTCCGTGATAAATTATAAATATTGCACTATCTGTACAAAAAGGAGTTCTTAGTGGTGTCTTATTCGGGACCCCTGCAAACCTACAAACAATCCACAACCTGCTTTTAATTGAAGACTTTTTTCCTCAGACACTGCAGGTACACGCCGGCTGGATTTGTTATATTCTGAAGTTATTTTAACTCTCTGTAGACTTCTGCATGTGAAGTAAGGCCCAGGAAAGTCAGAAACACTGACTCTTCTTCCCTGAAGCAATGCTTAATAGCCCAGCCTGTAAGATGCTGCTTGCGCCCTTAGAAACAAGTCTGAAAAAATCTGTGTATTTTCAGCTGTAATCATTAAGCCTTAGCATTCCTCAAAGGAAAAGGAAGCGAACCAGCTTTCCTCTGCTAACAACACGGAAGTCTCAGTCATTTGGTGGCATCAACTCTCAGAGCTGCCCTAAACTAAACCCCTATAATTCAGCTTCACATAAGGTTTCAGAACTGCTTTTTAGATTAAGTCGTGAGGAAAAAAACACTGGGAGAGCATTTAACACTTAAATAGGTTTTGGGTTTTGACTCCCGTCCCTTGAAGGATTTATGTTTATAGGGCTTATGATGGAATGTCAGTCTCAGCCTTAACTGCAGAGCAAATACATACGAGCTCCTCACAGTGATGCTGCTGTGTAATCTTGTCCTCTGAAGTGTTCTGTCTTGCTGCAGATACCCATGAAAGCATATTGGTGGATGTGCAGGCTACAAGGTACAGATTATGTGTAAGAGCAGTAGGAGCTGCTGCCCACAAAGACTTAACAGAATGAGATACTTTTGCAAGTGCTTAATGGTATCTAGTCGTTAAAGGGAAGTCATTAAATCTCTACCCTGCAATTTGGATATTGCAAATCACACTCGGGGAAGCTGCATTGTGCTGCTAAGAAATAAATACAGAAGACTCAGATGCATAGTGACCATATTTTTGAATGTGAGCTAGATGGCAACATGCAGCTTTTAATAAGGAGGCCGAAGAAATTACAGGTTGCTAAAATCCAAGGACAACTATTCCATTTTGCCAGCCATGCTTTTCTCTGCCAACACCAGTAAAAATGGCATTCCACAACGCTTCCTTTTAGTGTAAGCAGAAGTGGCTGTGAAAACAAACCCAATGAAATAGTCAGCAATAAAATGATAAAGTCGCTAAATAATGCATTTTTGTTTGGTTCTAGAGGCTGGCTTGTGTGAAATTCTTTGGAGATGAAGTGCAAACTAATATTTTGGCTACGGTGCATTCCTGGGGAAACACAGCTATGAGAACGCTATAGTTCACAATGAAAGCAGTTCATTTCTCAGCTTGAATTATGCATATTCTTCAGTAGGTGGCCTTCTTCCTTCTTCAGTGGTACAGAATCAGCAGCCTGGCATAGTGCTACTGGGCGCTTTGCTGCTTGATGTGCCCTCCTTCAGAAGACAGACCGAAAGCAAGGCCTCTTTCCTTTCTGATTTTGAAGGCTCTTAAAGCAATTTTTTTTCCTCTACATTTTGCTTTGGGCAGTTTTAATTTAATACGGTGTTCTTCTTCTCTTCCTTCCAGCCCTCCGTTGTTTTGTGACGTTGCTGAGCACCATAAATGACCACCGTATTTCCTCTGAGACAGCTGCATTTAAGAGGGGAGTGAGGTGAAGCCTGCAAACACACTTTGTGAAACATTCCCAGAGGAAGAAACTCAAGATCACTTGCAATTGTTACACGCCGATACACCTGGACAAACTCCAGCTTTTCTGCACCCCTGCCGTCTCTCCTCGAGAGAGCGTGAGGCTCGTGCTTGAGAGATCTTTCTGGGTAGGCTGGTGGCTTTTATCCTTTGTCTGAGAACCTGAGTCGCCACAAGCAACCTTCCTCCACGACAGTATCAGTTAATTAGCTGCAGAGCAGGCCGGTTTGTCTATGGCTGCCTTCTGTCTGTATCATCCCTCTTTCAGGGTCAGTCTGTCCTACCAGGGGAACTGCACAAGCTCAGCAAAGTTTGCCTTGTTACACCCGGGGCTCGCTCTTCATCTGATGTGTTCTGATGAGCCCTGAAGGAGACCAAAATGTCAGAGAGTTTCTGGCTTTAGCTTATAAAGCAACTTTCCTGATGAACTTTATTGTACGTAAACTCGACACACTGAAGTTTAGTGTTCTGACTGAGAAGACACAGACGCAGCGCTAAGAGAAATAACTGCTCGTAGGATCTAGCATGCGGATGGGGCTGGTGTGGTGGGAGTTGGGAGAGGAAGGAGCAGACAGATCTCCTCGTAATGAGAAGCATAATGCAGCCTCTGCCGTGAAGATCGGAGCTGCAGCTTCCCAGTCATTAACAGGGAGACCTTCCCCACGGCCCAGGGGCTGCGGCCCACTGCCACCGTGACCCCAGAGCAGCGGAGTCTAGACAGCACTGTGGGCTGATGGCTGTCAGTGCCTCTCAAAATGCTTCAGGACTTTCTCCTCTCCAAAGGAGATGCCTGAAGCAAACAAGTCCTCAGCATTCCAGGAAGCTTTGAGCCAGAGCCTTTCCCAAGCGACTGCCAGACATTTGGCCAGACTCTTCAGCCAACAGTTTGGTATTACAGTTCTTGTTGCAGAGGCATTTTCTTAGGAAGGGAAAGTATTGGATGAATTTCTAGCATGCTTCAGACTCTTAACTGCTTGTCGGTTACTCTGGATAGAGAATGAGAACCATAATCCAAGTGTTAGAAGCCTTGAAGGGATCAGTGCCCAGCTGTGCCAATGAACAGGTTATTCCTGTGTCATCTCTATTTCTGTTTGTGTAACCGAATGTGGCAGAGCTACTTTCTGAATCTCGGACTGATTTTGTGGAGAAGAGAGTGCTATTTCTGAGCCGCAATGCTTGCAAGGCGTGTTTTACTTGTGGCAGAGAAGATGTGCCTTTGACAAAAACTACCAACCGATTGGTTTCTTATGCTCCACACCTAGGATTGGTGATCTCCCACCATAGCAGAAGAGAACTCTACTGCTACGCCAATCTCATTACTCTAGGTGGTGCTTGGGTGTAATCACGGGAACTTCTTGGGAGTATCTTGTACAAAGTGGAATAAGCATTCTGAATTGCACAATAATGACTTC